CATTTTCTTTTTATTTTCCTAGCATTCCTTTTTCTTTTCTTTTTTTTTTTTTTGTTCATTTTTATTATTTGTGTAGTGGAGAATTGTTATCGAGTCCTTAAAAATTAGAAGACTCGATAATTCATCCACCTATTAAATACCTAACCTAATTATTGAAATAAATTCTAAAATTGACATTAACTAAATAAATTCAAGAAATACTAAATACTAAATCTAAATTAAGCAAAAAAAATAAAAAAATGAATACATAAAAATAAATAGGTAATAGAAACAAAGCAAATAGTCATTAAAAACGAACCAAAATGCCTCTATGATGCTATTGGAAAATGACCAAAATGCCCTTTAGGAAAATTTATCAAAATGCCTCTCGAAACCGCGAAGCTACTATCGAGATGCTCTATCACCATTTGGTGACCTCTTAGGCAAATGAACCACCTTGTATGATGGATGAGACCATCGTCAACACTAGTGGTGGCTTGGGTCGTCGTTGCCGGAGGAGGGAGATCGGAGATCTTAAAGTTTTGATCGAGATCTCCTCTTCTTTTCAATGATGATTTTGACAATGTTAGGAGATTTTGAGGACACCAATCAACTCTTCGATTGAGAGGAGTGTTTTTGTGATGGTCGGGGGATCTAATTTGGCCTTAATTGGCTAATTTTTCCAAGTTTCATAAAACAACTTAAGAAACGGGGTCGTCATTGATTAGTTCTTTTTTCGATGACTTTTGGTTACAATTCTAGAGGGGAACCACTCAACAGAGTCAACTAACCAGGTCTGTCATGGTGGGAGTTAGTGTTTTGGTCAAAATTATGAGAATTGATCGAGGCCCTATACTAGTCCGGTCACCAACCTTCTCTCCTCAATTTTGAACTCCTTTGATGTTTTCTTCTTCTCTAACCAACTAGGATTGTTGGATTTGGTGATGGGCTATCCATTGGTGTCAAAATTGATCAAAAGGTGGTTGATTTGAAGGAAGAAAGTTCTGCTATATAAACGAGTCAAACGATGGATTTGGGTTGTTCTTAGGGGTTGTTTGGAAATTTTCTAAATGAGTGGTTTTATTGAGGTTTTTAGGATGACGGAGGGTGGCTGGATGTGTGTGGGGGGGGTGTTGTGGTGGTTGATCAAGTGGAAGGGAAGCTTGGTAGTGGGTAGAGAGAGATGAGTGAGAGGTCCGATTTGTTTTTTTTTTTTTTTTTTTTTTTTTTTTTTAAGATAGGATGAATGATTGTTGCTACCCAAAAAATGAAGGGAAAGAGTTGTTTATATAGAAGATGTTTAGGGTTAGGGGATAAGTCATCTCCTTAATCATTTTTTTATATTATATATATATATATATTTTTGTATTTTTGATTCTTTTTTCCAATTTTTTATAGTAAGTTCTAAAATAAAGTAAATTGAAATAAAATAAAAATAAAAATAAAACAAAAACAAAAAAAAGGATAGAGGAAATTTTGGGTTATGACAATTGTTCTCTCTTTACAATGCTCATGGGGTAAATACCAACTGCAAGGTGAACTTCAAACTAGGTTTGCTTAGTGAGTTTGTAAAAAAAAAAAAAAAAAAGTAAATTGACTAATGAAAATGGTCTCGGTTATCTTAGATAATCATTCTAAACAAACCGAAAAGCTACAATAATCTCATTGTGTAAGATGGCTTGCTCTTAAAAAATAAAAAATAATGGTTTGGTTGTCATGGGTGATCGACCACGAAAGTAAAAATATGATAGAATGACCTTGTTATGAAAGACGACTTGCCTCGCAAAGTAAAATATAATAGTCTATTATTGGGCAACCTCACCCGAGGTAATGATATATTTTTAAATGAATAACTCAAAATTAAATGACAAAAAACAAATTACTTAAAAATAATCGACAAAAATAAATACAAGAGATAAATTTAATAGACTAAACCTATGGCCTCACTCTAAATCCTCAATGAAGTCGCTTTATGTCATTATTCAATATTCAATGGGACTCTAAAAAATTATTAAAGTTTGTTTTTCAAAAGAATTATTTATGATTTACTCTAGAGATGCGAGTTATTAATTTTAGAGCCGCTATTTAGTATTTAAGGAACTAAGAACCTAAAATGCGTACCGGTACTAGGATTTTAGAGCAAGGAGTTGGTTACACTCTTGAAAAGATATCAATCACCCAAAAATGTCATTTCCTAAGAAAGGTACCACGTCTAGTTTAGTCATAAAATTTTATTTTTGCCAAAATTAATCCTAGTCAAAATTCCTAGTTTTTTTTTTAATTTTTTTTTTATGTCAAACTAAGTTTTTTATTTTTGCTTGTGACATCATACTAAATCAATCGTTAGACTTCTTTGTCTAGAGACATGCTAGTTCAAACATTAGATTCACTTTAAGTCTCGACATAACGGATATGTCGGAGAACGCCTTGATTACTAAAGTGATTTTTGGCTAACAATGATCCCATATATATATATATATATATAAGTGTTTTTCTATTTTCTTTTTTTCTTTCTTCTTTTCCTTTCTCTCTTTTTCCTAGCATTTTTCTTTTTTGTTTCCTTTCTTTTCCTAACATTTCTTCTTCTTCTTTTTGTAATGTTTTCTTTTTGTTTTCTTAAGATTTATTTTTTTTCATTTTTATTATTTATGTCGGTGGGGAATTGTCATCAATTCCTAAAAATTAGAAGACTCGGCTATTCATCCATAGATTAATTACCTAACCTTATTATTGAAATAAATTTTAAAATTGACATTAACTAAATAAATTCAAGAAATTCAGAATATTAAATCTAAATTATGAATAAAATAATAAAAAATGCATAAAATACCCATAGGATGCAAAAATTACCAAAATGCCCCTTGAAACCTCGAAGCTATTGTTGAGATGCCTAGTCACCATTTGATGACCTCTCGGGTGAGTGAACCACATGGAGACCATCGTGAACCTAACGATGATGGTGGCTTAGGTTGCCGTTGCCGGAGGAGGGATATCGGCGGCCTTGAAGTTTCGACCATATCTTCTCTTTTTCTCGACGATGATTCTAACGATGTTAAGGGATTTCATGGATACCAATCAACTCGTGAGATTGAAATGAGTATTTTGTGGTGGTTAGAGGATCCAATTTGGCATTAATTGATCATTTTTTTTGGATTTCACAAAATGGGTCGAGAAATTGGTCATCGTCGATTAGTTCATTTCTAGTAACTTTTGACTACATTTCCAAGAGGGAACCACTCAAAGGAGTCATTCGACTAGGTCTATGGTGGTAGGGGTTGATGTTTTGGCTGGAATTGCGAGAATTGATTAGGTCCCTATACGGATCGGGTCATTAACCTTCTCTCCTCAATTCCGACCTCCTTCGACATCTCCTTCTTCTCTAACCGATCATGATCAACGGATTTGGTGATGGACTATCCGTTGGTGGTGGTGATTGCGAATTGACGGAAAGGTGATTTATTTGGAGGAGGAAAGTTTGGCCGTGTAAACGGATCAAATGGTGGATTTGGATTCCTTTTAGGGGTTGTTTGGTAGTTTTTTTAAATGTGTGGTTTTTTTGGAGGTTTTTAGGATGATGGAGGGTGGCTGGATGTGTGGGGGTGTTATAGTGGTTGGTAAAGTCGAAGAGAAGCTTAGTGGTGGGTAGAGAGAGATGAGTAAGAGGTTGAGTTTTTTTTTTGTTTTTTTTTTTTGTTTTTGTTTTTTTAAGGATGAATGATTGTGGCTAACCTAAAAATGAAGGGAAAGAATTGTTTATATAGGAGATTTTTAGGATTAGGGGACAAGTAATCTCCTTAATCTTTTTTTTTGTATTTTTTATTCTTTTTCCATTTTTTTTGTAGTAAATTCTAAAATAAGATAAAATAAAATAAAAATAAAATAAGAAACAAATAAAAAAAAAGATGGGAAATTTTGGATTATGAAACATACAATATTTAATTTGATGACTAATAATTGTAAAAAAAAGAAGAAGAAGAGGAAGATATTTTAAGTGCCTACGACAAAAACTATTGATATACCATCACAATTAATAAGCTTCTTAATGTACGTGAAAAACTAAAGAATACAATTTTTTGTGATTTTTACAATTTGCATAAGTATAAAAAGAGACCTCCAAGTTAATACTTGGAATACTTGGATTATTATATCTTCGGTATGTGTATATAGTTTTATTTTACATTGTGGGAATTAGTTATTTACAGTACATAGATCTAAATAAAATAAAAATTAATCTTTTTCCATATCTTACCTTAAATTAAAACTTTAATTTCCTTAAATAAAGTCAACTTATAACGAAGAAAATAGATTCCAGAAGTATAAATTTATATATCTCCTAATTAATTTGGTTGAAATATGTACTCGGATTATTATACCTTCCATATGCATAGTTTTCTTTTACACTGTGGCAATTAGCTAATAATTACAATAACATAAAAAAATCCCAATAACAATCAATGGAATAATTGTATTTTTTTTCTTGAGAAAAAAGAATAATGAATTATTCTAACATGTGGCTTACTTACATACCTAATTGATACAAATGGAATGTTTGAATTTTCATAATCAATAATATTGAATTATTTATAAATTAGGAATTTTTTCAATTATGGAAGCGAATGCATAATTCAGCGATATGTTATTAATTACTTAATTAAATATATGCATGCACATTCTTTACCCTCCACTCTTCTTTTTCACACTCAACGGATCTTAAACCTTCTATTGCGCCACCATGATGTGGAAGAGATCTCTTCCATAGCAGCACCTTTAGTAAGCATATCACAAATCTGATCTAATGGAAAGTTTTGGATTTCCATTACCATTATGCCCTAGCTATACACACACATATATAATTCAAACCTAAAGACAGTACCACCACATATCTTCAAGAGTTTTACATGTATAGGCAAAAATAGCAGAACCGAATTCTCCTTCCCATCATCAAGCACTAATCTCTTTTTAAGAATAAAATCGTTTTGCAGTTTTTAACTTTTGGGGAGAGAAAGAAGGTTGTTGTGAAGATGGGGTGGTGGCTATGGTGGGTTGTTTTGGTTGTGTCAATGATCAAAGATGTTGGTGCTAGAGGAGAAGATGTCACATATGATGGAAGATCTCTCATCATTGACGGCCAAAGGAAAATTCTGTTTTCTGGTTCAATTCACTATCCTCGTAGCACTCCAGAGGTAAAACAAATACACAATAATATATCATTAGAAACTGCTGCTAAATAGCACTAATTTGCCTTTCAAGTATATATATATATATATATGTAGTACATGAAGCCAATATCAATATTTATTATTAGTTCATGATAATCTTTAATAGAAAAAGAAGAAAGGACTGATCAAACCTTGTCAATATCGTTTTGAAATTGCATTGAGCTATGTTCGTATGCTTTCTACCTTCTACTCTAAGCAGACATTGCTTAGAAGGGGGAAGAACATTTAAAGGGGGTGGAAAAAAAAAATCTGCGAAACATTGAGATTGATTCGCGTACGTATGACAATATATTCTTAAAAATTTAAGATATATACATAAAAATTTTATTTTATATATGTTATGTTTTCATATTTTAGATATTATACATAAATTTTTATTTTGAAAAAAAAAAAACAGAACCTAAAAATTAATATAATAATAATATATGATCAATAGATCGAAATTAATGTAAAAAGGAAATGAAATTATATATATATAATAAGACGTCGTCTATTTATATTTTCTTTGCATATATAAATGATTTTGGAGGTCTAAATTTTGATTATCTTGATAATGATGAAACGATTAATATTTGATAATTTCATTTTTTTCCTCTGTTCTCTTCCAAATGTAATTTTGAAAAATTATTATGTGAACCTGGTTTATCGCTTAAAGATTTTCTTTTTTATTAAGACAATCATGTTTCTTAAAACGACTAAATAAGATAATGCCTTTCCACAATTGGTAGGTCCAACAACCTTAATTGGGAAATCAAATTCATCTTATAATTTCTAAATTTGTATTTTTTTAAAAATATAATATTTTAATATAAAAATAAAATATATGGTTTTTGTTATAAAAATAAAATAAAATAAAATTCAATATACATATTTATTTGAAACACCTCTATTATCATAATATCATGATTATTTACAGTCATACCACTTCATTAATTAAATAAAAATAAGAGCAAGTTTGATTCTTGTGTGTGTAGTAGGATCATGCAATTCTCATAATTCTCTAGGTAGGTGAGGTCTCACCCCTTGATGAACCAGAACGAAATTTTTATGAATCTTTTCTCCTTTCAACAAATAAAACATGCAAGTTTTCTCCGTAGAGGCATCAACGATACACTTCACAAACATGCATGCCTACTGTTCACTAATGAAAAATTTATTTTTTAGTTGTTTTGGTTACAAAACATCTGCAGGCCTTCTACATACATAATTATCAGATAATGTTAGAGATATTTCTTCTTCTTCTTCTTCTTCTTTTTTTTTTTTTTTTTAATACCCCTAGCTAGCTAGCTAGCATTACCTTCACTGTTATGTTTACTCGGAAAGAATGACAATGTTTTCCTTAATTATATGATGATAGTAATAACTTTGTGCAGATGTGGCCATCTTTGATAGCAAAAGCAAAAGAAGGAGGACTGGATGTGATTCAAACATATGTGTTTTGGAATCTCCATGAGCCAAAACCTGGCCAGGTAATAATTGCTAATTGAACTACTCACCATATAATTAAAATGCCAATTATTCAGCACTGTACTGAGTAAAATAATTACCCTTTTTCCACACATATTGGATTAATTACTTAGTATTTTTAGACATCTCTCTCTGTTTTTTTCATAAATTTTACATGACATATCAATAAATAGGTTGTTTTGAACATGACAATTAATCTTTCAAATTTGGAAGCTAGTGCACCGGATCATTTAGTCATTGAATTGACGAGGCCATATGTTGCCTGCTGCCTCGCGAAAGTTAGAATTCTTTATTATATAAATAGCATTGTATTAACAAGCATATTTCTTAGAAGTCTTTATATAAATAGCATTGTATTAAAAAGAATATGTCTGTCCCTAAATTATTTATGTTGTGTCACATAGTATGATTTCAGTGGAAGAAATGACTTGGTGAAGTTCATAAAGGAAATCCAAGCACAAGGCCTCTATGTCTGCCTTAGGATTGGACCTTTCATTGAGAGTGAATGGACTTATGGGTAAGCCATCATCCTTGTACTATATATACATTATTTAGGAGTATATAATTGCACAATCATGTTTTCCCTTCTACCAAGCAACGCCAAGGTACCTAGCTGTGACTCATGTTTTCACGCTATTTTTTTTCCTTCCTTCCTTTGCTTTAAATTTTGTTAATTTGGGTTTTAGAGAAGCTTTTTCCTAAAGGGTTTTCGTCTAACGTCTATTCGGATGTATAAAAACTCGTCAAAGAAAAGAAAGTTTGGAAGTTGTAGGAAAAAGTGACAGACTTGATACATGGTGTCAATAGGTTTATTCGAGTGCAAGGGAAATGATTTAGTTTGGAGAAATTGATATTTGAGGTCAGCATTTGTTTGTATGAAGACTAAAGAGCTGTTGTCTCTGGAAATGCAGGGGATTCCCATTTTGGTTGCATGATGTCCCGGGCATTGTTTATCGATCAGATAACGAACCCTTCAAGGTAATGAAGACTACTCCTCCTCCTTCTTCTTCTCCATGTGTCTGTTGGGCAATAATTTATACATGGTGGCTCTGAAAATGTTTTATTATGTGCCATCTCTCTACCTCATTCGCCATGTTGTCCACAAATGGATCAATCCCATGTATTTACAAAAACACTTCTAATCTCTCTTTTACATTCATGTTATGTTATTTTTTTGTATGTATACACATTTATTCAAAGCAGTATAGCATTGATTAGTACTTACAGTGAATTGTTTGATAAACTTGGGGAGTTTGCCTGATGGTTAAATGGATACACGTATGCTTCCTAGTTGGTCCCTGTGGTTCAAAGTTCAAACCTGTGAGAAATAGGGGGCCTTCGTCTTGGTGTGTGAAAGCACATTCAGGAGAGCCAAAAAAATGAAAGCGATTTGTTTGATTGATTTTGCGGGTTCTATTATGTGTTTTTGCAGTTTTACATGCAAAACTTTACCACAAAGATAGTGAACCTTATGAAGTCAGAGAGTCTATATGCTTCCCAAGGAGGTCCAATAATATTATCACAGGTATATATAAGAGAACATAACTGATTTCATGAGGAGCATGAAACTACAAGATCTTTTCATTATTTCATGGAAATCAATAATTTGAAAATTTGTATGTTATTATAGATTGAGAATGAATATCAAAATGTTGAAGCAGCTTTTCATGCAAAAGGGCCTCCATACGTCCTTTGGGCAGCAAAAATGGCGGTTGAGCTCCAGACTGGTGTGCCATGGGTGATGTGCAAGCAAACCGATGCTCCTGATCCAGTGGTATATGAATCTGAAATTGTTTAAGTCTTGTTACTATGGAGTCTGATGAAGGGTTAATCATTTACTGTGATTAATTGCTAACTAGTTTACCTATGTGATTTGAATTGCAAATCAAGTTCATTGTTTTTTTGAGGAAAAGAAAAACATACAACAGAATGAGATAAATGCGTGTTCTTTCTCATCTTCCAATTTCCAGATAAATGCATGCAACGGATTGAAATGTGGAGAAACTTTTGGAGGGCCTAACTCCCCAACCAAACCGTCACTGTGGACGGAGAACTGGACATCACAGTAAGTTCTATTTTGATCGACAGTAAGGTTTATGTTGATCCTAAATTTCCATGATTTAATTAAAATGTGAATAGGAAAACTGCTATTAGTGTGTCTTGATTCATATTTAATTGGACATTGAAAAAAAAATGGTGTTGAGTAAATCATTTATTGCTAGACTGTTTGCAGTCGGCAAATTTTCAGTGTATTTTGAGATTTGAATTATCTGTAATCAAACCAATTAATTCCTTTCTTTTCTTGTGAAGGTATCAAGTATATGGTGGAGAACCATACATACGGTCTGCTGAAGATATTGCATTTCACGTAACCCTTTTTGTTGCCAAAAATGGAAGCTATGTAAATTATTACATGGTATGATTGTCGAAACCACCTTTGTGCTTCCCAATATTTTTCTCTAGAGAATCACGTTTGATTGGTTTTCCTGTGTTCTATTTAAATGAGAACGGTTGTTTTTGTATGTAATAACAATCTGTAATGTTGCATTTGTTATGTAGTACCATGGTGGAACGAATTTTGGAAGAACAGCATCAGCATATGTGATAACAAGTTATTACGATCAAGCTCCCCTTGATGAATATGGTATGTTAGATATCTCCTTACACAGAACTTTGATCCACAGATGTGATAGATATTCATCAATTTTCACAAATTCAGGTCTAATTAGACAACCCAAATGGGGTCATCTTAAGGAGCTGCACGCTGCAATCAAGTCTTGTTCAACAATACTGCTAGTAGGAGTGCAATCTAGTTTCTCATTGGGTCAGCTTCAACAGGTGATGTCCAATACTGCTGAATCTTGGATGTTGTGTTCTAATACGATTGTTTTCTTATTTATTTGTGTATGTAATAAAAACATGCAATGAATACTGTATATTTATGTCAAATCAGGCCTATGTTTTTGAAGAAAAACGAGGAGGTTGTGTCGCATTTCTTGTAAACAATGACCGGAAAAATACTGCTACTGTTGTATTCCGAAATGCAACCTTTGAGCTGCTTCCACAGTCAATTAGTATTCTGCCTGACTGTAAAAAGATAATCTTCAACACTGCAAAGGTAGATAAGTCAAGAACCAATATTCTTTCATTTCTCTGGTTGGGCTTCTTAAGGCTCATGTTCATAATTTTCCATCATATATATTTATTTTCTGGGCATATAGATGATCATCATTGCTCTGTTACATATTTGATGACAGGTAAACGTAAAGGATAATGAGATAATCAAGAGATCAAGTCAATTGTTTGATGATATTGAAAGGTGGGAAGCATATAAAGATGTTATCCCTAACTTCTGGGATACTAGTCTTAAATCAGATACCCTGATGGAGCACATGAATACAACCAAAGATAAATCAGATCATCTTTGGTATACTTTAAGGTAATTGATTAAACATTCTTGTAAAATGGATCTAAATTTTATTGTCTATTAAACTTGCTTTGACATTTATCTGCAGAGAGATTTAGAAGGCTTTTTTTTTTTTTTTCTTTTTCTTTGTTACAGCTTTCGGCCCAATACATCTTGCGCGAAGCCTTTACTTCATGTCGAGTCTCTTGCACATGCTGCATCAGCTTTTGTCAACAGCAAATATTCAGGTTACTTGCACTGACTAGTTCATGTCACTGAATTTATCTTTACGATGTTTTGTATATCAACGATGGAATAGATAACATCGTAGCAAAATATAGAGGATGGATATGATCTGGACAAACAAATAGCATTTAATATTTCTGTTCACTCACTGGATTATATAATCTTTCTCAGGATCTGCACATGGAAGTCATGATGATAGGGGTCCATTTACAATGGAAGTACCAATCGTCTTAAATGATGGGATGAACAATATTTCGGTACTCAGCACTATGGTTGGATTACCGGTAATATTTTTAGATGTGCTTTCAAGTTTTTTTTTTCTTTTTTCTCTTTTCTTCTTTCTAATTATGAAAAAAATCATAGTTTCATGGATAAATCCTGGAAATATAAGTTGGCTGTAACCTGGGAAGGGATGGATATAGGAACTGGGGAGCTAAATGCAGATGTAGAGTACCTAAATATGTCTTCAAATATTTATCTATGGAGCAGGAACTAAAATTTACATTTTAGTGAGTTATATAGAATTTGCTGAAAAACAAAAACATACACGACATTTTTCCGATTTGGAAACCAGGCCTCCAATTAGGTGAGTCTACTGATTCACTTACTATTATTCCAAGTCAGCAAGATGCAAAATAGACCCACTTGTATTAACTTGGTTGATCCTGCGAGGCTACTTGTTCTTCATGGATTCCATCTACTATAACTCAATTTTTTGTTCATGCTTCCATGCAGGATTCAGGAGCTTTTCTGGAGAGAAGGTATGCAGGTTTAACGAGAGTGGAAATTAGGTGTACTCAACAAAAGATATATAGTTTTAATAATTATGGATGGGGATATCAGGTACATTGATGCTTATTCTTTAGGTATAACGTAACGAATCAGTTTACCTGAACATACTTGCAGGTAATTAACATATATAGTTGCTTCTGTCATCTGCTCTGCATTAATACGCAGGTAGGGTTGTTCGGAGAGAACTCAAATATATACATGAGAGAATATCTGGACAAAGTTAGATGGAGTAAAGTTGGTTCTGCTAAAGATCAGCCACTTACATGGTTTAAGGTATACCAGTTAATTTAACCTTGTACGAGATAAAAATGGTAGAATATTACGATCCTTTGTGCGTAGCCATTTCTTACTTGAAAATAGAACAGATTGTTTGTGGAATCATTCAACCAAAAAGGTGATCATTAAAATCTGCATGTTTGCATAAATTGATGATTTGCAGATTGAATTTGATGCACCTGCGGGCACTGATACAGTAGTCTTAAACCTAAGCACGATGGGAAAAGGTGAAGCATGGGTGAATGGACAGAGCATTGGACGTTACTGGGTCTCATTTCTCACTTATAAAGGACATCCTTCTCAGACAATGTAAGTAACATCCCTCTATCTTCTTTATAAGTACGAGAAAGTATACATATTTTATGGTAGAAGTGCATCTTTAGAAGGTTAGCAAATATAGGAAGAAAGATGACCATTGATAGTTATTTTAGATTTCCTGGCTTTAGTTGTTTTTGGATTTCCTCGGTTTTCTTGTATGAAACAAATTGAAAAAATGAAGTAGAGTGTAGGGTTCAAATCCTTTTCTTAACGAATTTGACGTTTATGAAATAGATGAAGAAGACAATAAGAGACTAGGTAGAACTTGATGGCATGACTTGCAAAATCCACATATCATAGCATTGTCCTAATATACACAGACTTTCGAGTGTTACAATTTCAGGAGGATCTATGATGAGACAAAGAAGGGAACGGTGAATATAATCAGAATCAAGCTTTAGAATGGAGTGTATTACAAATGAAAAGAAAGTAGAAAATGAGGGTGATGAGTGTCTGCAATTCAAACATATGAGATGATAAACTTCTGCACATGCAGGTCCTCACAATTTAACAACATATTCAAACTAGTGTTGATTGATGCACACATTTTCTTTTTCTTTCTGAATTAGGTACCACGTTCCTCGTGCGTTCCTTAAACCTTCAGGAAACCTCCTAGTTATCCTTGAGGAATCTGGGGGAGATCCTCTCCGTATTTCACTGGACACCATTTCAAGGACAGGACTACAAGATCATGTTTCCAATTATGAGCATTTCAAGGACAGGATATAGAGTTTTTCTTCCAAGATCACCTGGCCTACTTGGGACTGATTGTAAGTTCTCATGGAACAGTATCAATGATTGATTAAGACAAAAAGCAAAAAAAATCTCTCCCATGTTTTTCGATTACTGCTGTATAGAAACATCTAGTTACATTGATTGTCAATGCACTTTCATCACCTTATCTACCAACGAAATAAAGTGAAACTCTGAAAAATTTCCAAAAGTTTCATTCAATTCAGATCAAATTCGAGTTCAAGAAACACCCCTTTTTTTTTTTTTTTTAAAAAAAAAGGATAAAAACGTCTAACAACCTCTGAATTTTAAATCTTTTGAAGTTGAGTTTTAAATTTTTTTATTGGTTTTGAAGATTTTTAAACCTTTTTGTTTAAAACAAAAGATTTAGTCCATCTTTCAGTTTTTTATTATTTATTTCAAAAAATAACAATCACATAAATAATTTTATAAAAGAAATCATTCAATGAGATTTATATGGGATTCCTACAAATTTAGGATCATTTTGGAATTATCTTCTATTTTTTTTCTTAATTTCTATATTTTTAATATTCAAATATAAACAAACATAGTTTTCGAATTTGAACAATTCTGGAATTTTTCTGCAAAATAGATTAAATTTTTTTTCCAACATGTTTGCAAAATTTCATCTTAAAATACTAAAAATTGAATTTTTTAAAGAAAAAAATAAATAAAAATGATTAAATAAACTGTATTTTCAAAACCAATAATAATAATAATAATAAAAAAAAAACGGTCAAGACTTCAATTTAATATGACTTAAAGTGCTTGGGTGGTGTCTTGGTGACACCTTTTTAGCCACTTAAAAAATCAACCCGTTTTTTAGCCAGCCATAAGGTCACTGTGTTGTTCGATTAATGGCGTGGCTCCTAAAACTTGATCCGCAACGTCAAGTATGGAGTCTATGATATTGCTTCTTTATTTTTATTTTTTTTCATTTTTGATATTTTCCTCTCAAGGTAATATACACACTCAATCAAAATCAGGTCTGAACACAAACTCTTAACTTCCTTTCCTTGTAAAAATCCAATGCAGTGCAACAAAAGCACCATTGCTTTACTTGCATTCACTTTCTGCCCCCTAAAATTTTTATTTTTACTTTTGGAATTTCATGCTTAGTTCACTTAATAAGGTAATGGCATTTCTGGTCTGATGGTGATGTTCCCATGTCTAAACTTTTTTCTGCAAATGCCTAATAAAGCTGTCCAAATTCTTCCATAAACAGAAGAAAAGTTCTCCAGGTCCATCAATCCTTTATCAATGATCATCTGGTTTCCTGCTGTGGAATGGCACCCTAATCTCTAGAATCGATGCTCGTTGGCTCCTGATTTTAAGCTTGTAAGTGCCAGCAGAACTAGAATAACACCTTGAATTGCCATTCGTAAAACTCAGAACTATACTCTCATGCAGCTATTGAAGATCAAATTGATAACATGGATGCGAATAATTAGGTTTTGAATGACCTCAATTTTATTATACTAGAACATGTATATTCACAAAAAGAGTCCTAAATATTAGGACTTGTTTACCTACTTCAAGGAAGAAATCTTGCCTAACCTATTCTAAATAGGAAACAAATATACAGCTAATTACATTGATTTACAACCTAATTCCTAGTTGATTAATAGCAAAGAATCCCAACACTTCCCCTCAAGTCTGGGTTGTAAATATTTATCATACCCAACTTGCAACTAAGATCTTCAAAATGTGTCATTGGAAGTGCTTTAGTTAGGATATCGATTGTTTGTAGATTACAAGGAATGTAAGTAGGCTTGATTTCTCCTCTTTCTATTTTTTCTCTAATAAAATGCCAATCTATTTCCACATGTTTGGTCCAGTCATGATGAACTAGATTTTTAGCAATACCGATGGCGGATTGACTATCACAAAGCATTTGTAGTGATCCTTTAAAAGGTATCTTCAATTCGGCTAATACTCTTTTCATTCAGATTTCTTCATAAATACTATAAGCCATTACTCGAAATTTTGCTTCAACGACTACTCCTAGCTACCACAGCTTGCTTTTTACTCTTCCATTTTGTCAAATTTCGTAAACATAGGTACAATATCCGAAGTGGATCGTTTATCTATGATTGAACTTACCCAATCTGCATTAGAATACAATTCCACTTCCTTATTTAAGTTCTTTTTGAATAATAGTCCCTTACCCGGAGTCATTTTCAAGTATCTTAAGACTCTATATATCACTATCATATGTTCTTCAGTAGGGTTCTTCATGAACTGGCTAACAACACTCACGGAGAATGCTATGTCCGGCCTAGTATGTGACGGATAGATCAACTTCCCTACGAGTCTTTGATATCTTCCTTTATCTATAAGAGCACTATCCTTATTAGACCAAAGTTTAGCGGTGTAGTCCATAGGTGTCTCTGCAGGTTTACACCCAAGCATACTGTTTCTTTTAGAAGATCTAGTACATACTTCCTTTGAGAGACTCCAATGCCTTGCTTAGACCTAGCCACTTCCATTCCCAAGAACTATGTGAGTTTACCTAGGTCCTTGATCTCAAATTCTTTATTCGAAATTCTTTGACTCTTGAAATCTCCTCAGCATAATCCCCTGTTAGAATAATATCATCAACATAGATAATTAACATAGAAATCGGTTTTTCGAAGAATGTTTTACAAACATTGTATCATCGGATTGTCCCTATATGTACCCATTACTCTTCACTGCTATGGTAAATCTCTCAAACCAAGCTCGGGTGATTGTTTAAGACCATAAAGTGACTTCTTTAGTCGATACACTTTATTGATGTTTGATGAATTTTGTAGTCTTTGGGGAATGTCTATATAGACCTCCTCTTCTAGATTCCCATTCAAGAATGCATTCTTGACATCTAGTTGATGCGAGGGCCAATCCAAATTAGTTGCAAGAGAGAGGAGTGTTCGAATAGTGTTGAGTTTTGCTACCGGAGCAAAGGTCTCCTCATAATCTATGCCCTAGGATTGAGTAAATCCCTTAGCTATTAACCGAGCTTTATATCTTTCAATACTACCATTTGTTTTGTTTTTACATTGAAGATCCACTTGCACCGAATCACATTCTTTCTATGAGGCAAATCGGTAATCTCCCAAGTAACATTCTTCACCAAAGCATTAACTTCTTCATTGATCGCCTTCTTTCATTCCGAGATAGCCATGGCTTCATGGATTGAGTTCGGAATAGATATAGAATTGGTTTTTCCGGTGAATGATTGGTAAGATGAAGATAGCCCATCATAGTTCACATAGTTCCCAATAGGGTACAATGGCTTACTTCTACATTCTTTCACCCATTTCTTGAGTGCAATGGATAGATTCTCATCGAAATTCATAAGATTAATTAAACTAGAACCTACAGAATTTTCCTTTATAATTTGCAAATCAAATGTAGGGATATTTACCTCGAGTTCGGATGCTGGCGATAGTTGTAAATCTGCTGAAGTCTCGATTCCTTCGACTTTCCCTTTTTTTTTTTTGTGATAGACAATTATATTAAGAGATGTAGAATCAATTGGTTGTGGTTCGGATTCGGGTTGGACACTTGGAGATAGGGTAGAATCACTTTTAAGTGGATAAGATATATTTATAGTTTCGAATGTTTCGGGGTGCAATTTATGCTCTCTAAGAAAAATTGAAATTCTTGTGGTTGACTTTGACTAGAACTCTCTCCTTGAATATCAGTTTTGATGTAATAGAGTTTTGATTAAAAAAATATGGCATCCATGGTATGATAGAACTTTTGGTTCTTAGGATAGAAGCATTTGTAACTTTTTTTTATTAGGAGACAAAGATACATTTAGTAGATCGAGAGTCAAGCTTGGTTCGATGTTGTTGATGGATATGCACGAACACAATATACCTAAATATTTTTAGAGAAAAAGTGGAAATTAGACGATTTTGAGGAAAGTGTTGTAAAAATACTTTATGTGGAATGGAAAAATCTAGTACTTTTGATGGAAGTCAATTGATTAGGTATGCTTGTTGTAATTATAGCCTCACTTTAAAAATATTTTAGAATATTAGATGAAAACAACAAAGACCTAGCAATATCCAAAAGTTGTCTACTCTTTCTCTCGACTATCCCATTTTACCGAGGGGTATCTACCAATGAACTTTGGTATATGATTCCCTCGGTTGATAGATATGAGCCAAGATTAGAATTAAGAAACTCCATTCCATTATCGGTTCTAAGTATTTGAATAATAGTTTGAAATTGATTTTTAATCATTGTGTTGAAATTCTTAAATATTTGAGGGACATCCGATTTATTTTTCATGAGAAAAATCCATATGAGTCGTGTGTGATCATCTATGAAAGAGATGAACCACCGAGCCTCCGTGACATTTGAAACTTGGGATGGGCCCTAAACATCACTATGGATTATAGAAAAAGGTTTTGATGCTTTGTATGGCTGAATAGGGTATGAACTACGAGTATGTTTTGCAAATTGACAAATTTCACACTAAAAAGAATTAGAACTTTTATTTCGAACAAACTTAGAAAAAACTTAAACAAATACATAAAGCTTGGGTGTCTTAACCTATAATGCCACACCATGATCGATCTCTCACTCCCATTTTTCAACTCACTAACGGATAAGCAAGAATCGGCTTTACTAGAATTAAGGTTACTTATTCCTAGATGAGATTGTCTCATAGAATCCGATTGAACCTCAAGATGATAGAGCCCAAGCATGACTTCTAGCATTACCAATCATCCTCCCCGAAGTCACATCCTAAAATTCATAAAGATGAGGGGAAAAAATAGCTAGACGAGTTAAGATCTTGGGTAATTTTATTTATGGAGAGTAGGTTGCAGTCTAGATTAGGAACATATAGAATAAATTTGAGTGTTACGTCCCCGGATACCACAACCGAACTAGTCCCTTCCATTTTTGGCAAAGAACCATCTACAATTCTAATTATGAGAGCATCATTACAGTGCAAAATATGTGTGAAAAAATCGCCTATCTCCCGACATGTGATTAAAAGCGCCAAAGTCTACAATCCAAGGCTTATAGAGCTCTTGTTTGATAGTTAAAGCCTTAAGAAAATTACCTTTTTGAGCTATAGAACCCGACCCAATAACTGGTGGATTCTGTTGTGATTGCAATAACCTTCTTAGTCCATCAAGTTCTTCTCTACTAAGAGTTGCGACCTACTCTAAATTCCCGGCCATGTTGCCTCGAACTTTATTCTCTACTCGTTGTTTTTTGCTTCTAATCGGCTAGTTTTCCATGGAGTGTCTAGCAGGTTTCTTTGGTATGACCAGGGCGGCGACAATGTTCACACCATGGCCTTCCCCCTTTATATGGTTGTTGTTGATTTCGGATCGCCAAGGCCGATAACTCACCACTAGTAACCGATTTTTTTGTCCCCAACATCAAGTAACGTCTCGCTTTCTTCCCTTCGGACCTCGGAGAAGGCTTCACGCACGTTTGGGAATGGTTTTGTGCTAAATATCCTTCCTCTTACAGACATCAAGACTGGAATTCAATCCCAACCAAAATTTGTAAACCCTTTTGTTATCTATGATCCTTTTGTGTTGTTTGAGATCATTAGTAGTGTCTTAAGAATATTTTTCAAAAGCATCCAGCTGCTGCCAGCTTTGTTGGAGTTTGTTATAATACTTAGTTATCGACAAGTCACCTTGTCGAAGATCATGTAAGACGCTCTCAATTGCCACTAGTTCGGGGGTGTTGTCTTTATGAGAAAAGGTATCGTTTGTTGCTTCCTAGACTTCGCAGCAATTTGATATAGGAGAAAATTTTCTCCTATATATGGCTCCATGGAATTCACTAACCAAGACATAACCTAGCTATTATCTCTCTTCTACATCCCGTAATTAGCATCTTTTTCATTTGGTTTGGTGATATTTCTAATTAGATAATCTTCTTGTTCCTTGCTACGGACATGAAACATAAAGGATTGAGACCATTGGATATAGTTTCTGCCATTGAGTTTGTAGATGGTTATGGGTACGGATGAGTAGTTTGTCATGTCTCCCCCATGGTTGTTGAACACAACAGTTTCAGTATTGGAGGATTTTGGGGTTTCAATAGAGGATTCGTTGGTGCTTGTCATGTTTGGTCTTGGATGTTGTTGTTGGAATAAAATAAAAGATGGATTCGGAATGAGATAAAGAGTGGATTGGTTGATGAATACTGTTGGTGTTAGAATAAAATAAAAGATGGATTGGGAATGAGATAGAGGGTGGATTGGTTGATGAATACTGCTGGAATAAGCAGTGTAGAGATTGACGAATAGTGCTGGAATAAGCAAAGTAGAGGGCTGCTAGAAAAAAAAAAGGTGAATAATTGACTTAGAACGGCTGTGGGAAGAACATAAGGCGTCTAGGGTTGCTTTGATGCCATGCGAATAATTAGGTTTTGAATGACCTCTATTCTAAATAGGAAACAAATATAGCTAATTATATTAATTTATAGCCTATAGCAAAGAATCCCAACAATGGAGTATGCCTTTTCTTTTACTAAATCTATCTTTAACTTCTCCTAACTCATTAGGAAGAATTAAGAAGTCACCTTTAGGACAATAAGCTGCTCTAACGAAGGAAATTCTTGAATTCAGTTCACTTTTAGGAATGTATGTGACTTCGCACTTAAGAACTGATATGGTCTTACGATAGTAATTCAAAAAAAAAATGTATAAAGGAAAAAACTAAGAACTGTTGGTGAGAAATATACATTCAAAAGTCAGACTTACAGGAGAAAAAAAATGATGAGATTGTGGGAAAACTAAATTGCATACATTTTCTTATGCTCGTGGTTTAAAATCTCAGAATCCGACATCACAGAAACTGAAAATGAGCGTGACCTGCTCCCCGGTGATGATCTTCGTATACTCCTCATATTTGACGCCTCAATCCGATGCTGGACCACCCAAAAACACATTGTACCCAAAGTTGTAACCATTATAGTTGCTCCTATAATTGTCACACCAATTGCCAACCGTTTCTCATGCTCACCCACCACAACGTAGGATAGTGCCAAATATGCAACCGAAACAAGGACACAAGCTATCCACATCAATTTATTTATAATTGCCATCAACTGCTTCTTTGCCTTGCTCTTTATGACTACAACTGACGTCTGCACCACCACGACTGCCAGAGAAATGAAGAGCGCAACAGAATCAAAGATAAAGAATATGATGAATGGAGCTTTTGGGGCGATACTTGCTTCTCCTAGAGACATTCCAGGGGGATTTCTCCAGGGTTGTCTACATATTGACCAGGGACGGTGAAGATGGCTGCAAAGGCAACTGTTGCAATGAGAACAGCAACTACAGTTGTCGAGTTGATGGCATTGTTAAGACCTTCTACGTGCATTTTGTTGACATATTTAGCGATGCCTTGCACATGCTTTGTAGTCTGAAGTGAGTGTTCTAGCTGGTAGTGGACTTCATGTTTTATGTCGCTTACTGTTTGTTTCAACTCTCGTGCTGGATTATTTTCCTGTGGCTTAATCATTTTGGCACTCTGAACTCCATGCTCCTGCAAAATGACTCCAATTTCGGGGTGGCCCATTTTTTCGGCAGTATCGACAGCAGTTTCACCAGTCCTATTAACAGCCTCTATGTCAGTTTCACTATGCCGAAGTAGCAGCCTAACAATCTGCACAGACAGAGCATTATTATGTCAGCTTACCCCTCTCATCATCAATGAAACGATTTCACAGTCTACTCATTATCATATAATCCTCTAGCCGGTTTATAGTTTAGGTGAGAAAATTGACATCAACATCACACTTTCAAGCCCCAATGCTTTTGGTTTCAATAAGAAGAGTCTTAAACTGGAATATATCCAATTCACTTGTCATATAAGCCAGTTTGATGTTATCTATTGAGGGTTTAAAATTCATCTAGATCATCTTGAACAATATTATAGTTCCCACAAGTTCAATCAAATACAAACCAAGCTGTCAGATATTTCAGGATTTTGTGTAGAAGACAACTCGCAGTGTGATTTCAAAACCAATATAGGAAGTGGTAACTGAATATGAAGCACCATCGAGGAATTTTCTCCTTAGTAAAGCATATCTTAGACGAATAATTAACGGAATTGACAAATTATTAATTAGGCTTGCAGATGGAAAAATTTTAGCATGCCATACCTCAGATGATGAGGTCAAAGGAGTCCCATCTGATACAGTATTTCAATTCCATTATCCTTTGTAAACCCCAGATAGATTTTTCAACAATGAAGGTTGCCTTGAATTCAAACCTTTCACTTTCTTTTTAATCATGTTTTGCCAACATATATCCATTGTACAAGAACAGCAAGTAAAATGAAAAGGTGATTTGGCTTAAACAAAAAGTTTTTGACACTCGAATTCCTGTAGTACATTCAACTTAATAGGGAACAAGACCCCCTCTTGAAGGAATTTTGAATCATCCACAAATATCCTTGTAGATACGCTAGAAAGGTAGGGGAAAAGGAAATTTTACCTGAGTTCTTCCTTTCCTGGTTGCTATATGTAAGGCTGAATTGCCCTTAGTATCAATCATGTTTACAGATGAAGACTCTGCATTAATCAGCTCCTCCACCACCTCAATATTCTGCCCCTTCACTGCCATGTGAAGTGCCGTCTGACCCTTTTTATCTTTCCTTGTCACCATCCCGGGCTCCATGGTCAAAAGTGCTCTCACAACCTCCAAGTGCCCATTTCTAGCTGCAGAATGCAAGGCAGTTTTTCCATTGCTTCTAGCAATGGTTGCTAGGCTACTTCCTGAATCCAACAAAAAATCCACAATCTCTATATGTCCTTGTGTCGCAGCCGTGTGCAAAGCTGTAGTGTTTGATAAATCAACTGTCATAGACAATTCTGGATGGGCCTCCATTAGGACTCTCAATATCTCTGCAGCAACACAGATAAAAACTCAAACATTGGTCCTAAAATACAATAAACCAATAGAAAACTGTATGATTAAGCCAAACCTAAATCCCCTCGCTTTGCAGCCACATGGAATGCATCAAACCCATTTCTTGCTTTGATACCAGCATCAGCAAGATCATAATATTTTATCATCTCTTTAACCACATCAACATAACCGTATTCTGCGGCAGCGTAAAGGGCAATTTCTCCTGATTGGTTTTGCTTCTCTAACAATCCCTTCAATTCTTCTTCTCCAGTACCAGTAAGGATCTCCATTACAACACCCAGATTTCCTGCTCTAGCTGCAGAATGTAATGGTGTATCATCTCTTTTTCTTGTCAAATGTTTGGTCATCCTTTTCCAGGGCACTGGGGAAGGCTGCCCACCAGGTGACTCCATTGGATTCAATAATCAAAAGGAAAAATCTCTTCTAATTCTAATCAGTAACTCACGTGTTTTTCTTCATTCCAGCAAAAATCCAGATCAAAGTTTGCATCTTTTATTATCAAGACTAATTCATTCAAAGCAGCCCAAGTTATGATATTCTCTGTTAACTCTTTCTTCTAGGATTCAACAATCCCAAAATGTTAGAGCTTGATTCCGACCTCCCATAACTGGCTTTACTCTCTCTTGCATCCTAAATTAGGCCTGTAACGACAATACAAATAGTTATATAATCTAATGGGTCCTCTACTTCTTTAATAACCAATTTCAATGTATACAGCTATAGGAACTAGTCTAGACTATAGAACAAAAACAATCAAAAACAGCCTGTAAGGAAGGAAAAAATGATCTTCATCAATGAATATAAGCTGTTTTTACACATGAATATTCATCAATGATCTTCAGTAACTAAAAATATTATACACCTCATGTACTTCTTGATTTGTTATGTCTTTTTAATCGTGTGATTAACTGTGTGGGGAATTTAGCCATGATATCATGGGCAGCAAGGAAGCCACTGGTGACTGAAGAAGTGGAGGTAGTACCGCCAAGATCCTCTTTGCCTCGATATAGGACATTGAAGATTACTTGTTAGAACTAAGCAGACCAAACTTTCGTAGTTTTTTTTTTTTTTTTTTTTCACGTATTGAGTAAATTCATGTGTTTCCATGTATTTGGGGTAGTTTCAGTGTAGAATGCAAAGTTGATTATCTAGATGATAATTTGTGTGAAAAAGTTAGGCACTTTGTCAAGTCAAGCCTTTATCTTTCACATGATCAATTGTACGGATGGACCATTAAAAAATGGTTTAGACCTTCATTATTCATGAGCTAATGCAATTTAGGAAAAAATGCGATCAGTCCATCGATGCAAAAGCAGTCATGTCGATGGTAGGCAAAATTATATGGACTATTCTAATGGATTTCAGAAAGAAGTTCTGAAAAATATTTTGCAATCATCTTTTGGCAATTGGTTTACTTTTTTTTTTCTTTTTTTTTTTGGCAATTGGTTTACATGTAAGGTGGAAGAGCATTTACGCAAAAAAAATATATATATATACACAACAATGATGTCATGCATATTTATCCAAGAAAAATACAGTATAAGAAATTGATTTGTTGAGTTTCGACCAATGTACTTCTATCAAAAGATGTGAATGTTACTTCTAACAACAAAATGTAACATGTGTGCATTGCAAGTGACATACCTCTAAGAAAACATAACAAACTTAGTGACAATGATCTTCAACTATAGTACTCTTGTCTTTCTAGTTGGCTTCGATTCTCCAGTAGCATTTCTTCGACTGCTTTACTCTCTCCTGGCTTGGCCAGGGTGACTGATCTAACAGCTTTACTGATATGTTGACAAGTTCCTACACCTGATACGAAACCAATAAAGCTTAGAATCAGAAATGGGTTTCGAAAAAACCCAGAAAGGAAACAATAAAATAAAGTTGTTATAGCATACCTCTATTGTTAACCTGGATTCTTTGACACATACATGCTCTGGCGTTAAATTCAGCTTCAAAATTCATCTGTTTCTGCAATAACATAGATTGTACTCAATTTCCATATTTTTTGTGAAACCAAAGACCCAACAATCAACTGTTTATCTATGAAAACCAGAATGCATGTCAACTATTATCTTATACGATGGTAGGAGATTCTTTCTCAATACCTTCTCTTCACATTACCTTTTAATAGAGCAAGAAAGATGCACATATGTTAAAAAATTCAGCAGTTCACACCCCACGAGACGAATGTTTTGAGCTGCATTGGAGTGATGATTAAGGACAAGATCAGCTCAAATTGATGTTTAAAAACTGCTTCATCCATTGACCACTGTCAATCAATCTATTATGTGAAAAAACAATCAAAGATTATTCTTTCCCGTGAAGGAAATGAAATGTAGAAAGTGGGCAGTTGAGTTTAAATATTATTTACCTTAAAGTTGCAGAAGAATTGATGGACATCCATGGAATGATTCTGCAGATCCACTGGAGAACATGCCCATGTTAGTTGCTGCACATGCTGTCCGAGGACCTGGGTATGTGTCAATGGCAGTGTTTTTGTCCATAAAGAACAGGAAAAGAACTAAAAAACAAACAGACATTACTACTTTAATAATTGGTGGACTACAACTTGACATAGCCCATCAAAAACCCATTAAGAAATTGCCTTTTTTCTTTTTCTTTTTTACCTCAAGATGTTGCTTTGCCTTATTGGAAAAAAGGGGCAAAGAGTAGGAGCTCTAGATCCTTAAGAGCAAAGGAAATTAATTGTTCAGTGCCTTGGGCTAGCTCGTGGTTAAAAAAGAGAGCAATTCTCAACATGTTTAATACTCGAATAAAAAACACAAGGCAACTAACCATCCAAACCCTTATATTCGGCTATCTATCTCTCTATTTATTTATTTTTCTTTAATCATTGTGTTCAGAATTATTAAATTTTTAGAATTGTTCTCCATTAGTACTCTACCATGGAAACCATTTCGTGATGACTTTGGCAAGCTCGTTATTGCCTTTCACAAGGTCCAAAGATGTTTTGAATGAAAACAAATTTAGTTCATGATAGAGCGATAAAAAAATATTTTTAACTCATCAAATTTGGAGTTGGTTTTTATTTCTGAAAAAAAAAAAAAAATTCTTTTCCTTTGAATTGCAGTGAACATGGATTGTTGGTAGGCTTAAAATAGCTCGGCTTTTTAGAATTGATTAAAAACCGGACATAATTCGATGTTGAATTAATCTAAAAAATGATGAATTTAATTTTGATTGTTGTAAAAACTAATTCGATAATATTTGATTACATATAAACCTAAAAAGAAAGAAAGAAAAAATATAGATGGAAGGAATATGAAAATTTTGATTTGTTTGATTTTATTGTGTATACTTTGAAACAAATGGATTCCAAGGGTTAGCATGATGTATTTTCATGTTTCATAGATGATTTGAGATGATTTAATAGTAACAATATCCGTGAGGTGATTTGAGCATATTTAAGTTTTTTTTTTTTGACACTTTGGAATTGCTTTCATTTGAGTTGCAAATATTTTTCACCAAATTCTTTTAATAAAAAGAAAAACCCATAATATAGGAAGTGAAATATTGGTATTTAAAATGTTACAACTATAATAAATACAAGGTAATAGCTCAATGGTAAGCAAGCATCGACCTATAGGTCAAATCTAAAGAAGTTATTTTTAGAATATCAAAAGTTGTGCATTGAGAAGTGTCTCTTAACCATATCTAGTGAAAGATTAATCTCAAAATATGCAAACACTACAAAAAAAAAAAGACAATTAGTCACGGTATTTAAAGTCTCTTTATTTATCTTCGACAATACATCAAAAGTACAACATTGATAAAGTTAAAATCTTTGTCATAATTAAACCATTTTTTAGCTTCTAATTACCATTACAGAAACATAGTGAGAGAGGGGGTGGGGGGTGTGGTGGCGTAGAGGGCGGAGAAAGGGTACCATTTCTGTGGAACTCAACTTTGAAGAACTCCTTGTAGTAAGAAAATTTGATGTTATTTTTCCCCATTTTTTCCTTCCAGTTTGTTCAGGCTGAAGAAAAACAAAGAAGAAAGCTAAAGAAACCTTTTTTATGCTACAAAATTGGAATTTTGGGTTACAAATTATAAGTTTTTCTTGTATTGGTGGTAAAAAAGAAGGAAAATGTTCTTTTAGCATACGACGTGCAGTAGTACGATCTGTGTTTCTTGGCGTAGTGTAGAAAGTTGACAGAAGAAGTAAAGCCTGTTTTTTCTAGTTTAAGAAAAAAGTAGGCCTACTCTCCAATCCAAGATTGACTGGTTTATTATTACTGATTTGATGCAACCTCAATGGCAGACGTTGACAACAGCCTTTATGAGGCACTATTTCTTTGTTTTGGATTTAGAATAATATCATGATGCGCATTAATTTTAATAATATCTCTCTTTAATTACAATCCATGCGTATCATTACGTTATTCTTAATTACAGATCATGATTTATTTAAGACTAATCAATATTTGAGTTCACTCAAGGTTAATTTCTTAGAATATTAATTTGTATGTAAAAAATTTTTTGAGTAATTATTTTCGTTTTGTGCATCTTAGCGAATAGTGATGGATCAATCTAGATTTTTTAAATATAAGATATATTAAAAGTTCTAAAATAAGTAAATAAACTTGATGGCAGATTCAAAATTCAATTATAATCATAAAACAAATTGAATAATTTAATACGTAGATTAGGCGTTTTTTCTCAATTTGGACAATTTGATAAGTAGATTAGGTGTTTTTTCTCAAATTCAACAACTTAACAGTTCAACAAGCAATACGGTACAAAAAAAGTAGCAAAAGAGTCGACGTATTTAGCAGAACTGGTCAAAAGAAACATATTTTAGACATGTCTTGTAATTAGTAAACATATAATATGTCTGAATGTGTTTAATATTTTGAAGGTCTTAGGTAAAGTCTAGTTTTAGAGAATCAATTCATTAGTAAACATGATGTCAAAGGTTGTTGAACTACCAGAAACTGAATGCAAACAAAATGGAGCCTCATCGAAGCAAAATGATAAGGTTAACTAGTTAAAATTACTACTAACTTAATTTTATTTAGTTTAACTTGTAATGTAACTAGAGTTAGTTTAAGTGGTGATCAAAGTGTACAAATATAAAGCTAAGATGTGATGATTTTATCAGTATAAATAGGCTGAATGTTTTGGAATTGTAAAGAGAAAAAATAGATAGAAAAAAGAGAATAAACTTTCCCTGTTTCCTAATTCTGCAAAAAATCACAGATCTATGTGCAGATTTAAGTGAGTTTTTCAATGTTTTACAAACCCATTGTACTTTTGTTGTTGTTTTGAACAACACACACAAGCTGGTTGTTCAGCCAACAATAAGAATATAATTCAAAAAGTTTAATTTTATCAGTGATTCTGATGAAAAGTTTGTTCTTTTTATAACATTATCATAACAGATTGGAGTTCTCAAGATGATATAACCGAAAATCATTTAATCCCAAAAAACAAAAACAGTAACATTCAACTGAACATAGCAAATTTTTATTCACTCAATGGTTGGCTCCAGCTTGCTTCTTCAATGGCTCGAAAAATGGAAACTTGAAGTGAAATTTCAATACCCTGAATCAGCTCAAAAACACAAACATCACCGACTTCCAAATTATTGTCGAGCACAAATTCTTTCCAGGAACGAAGGAATTTGGCTTTTCGTTTTCCAGAGATAACATAACACATGTACTCAACACTCCAAGTTCTATCAGAAACCTTTAGAATGACATGACCTCGCTTCTTGAAATACCTGTTGGCAAAATTGTAAGGAATATTCTGCCACAAAAGAATAAAATTAAAAAATTAGTTTTTGAAATTTTCTGCTTCAAAATTCAGAAGAAAAGAAAAGGAAAATGTGTTTCAATAAAAAAAGAAAAGAAATAAAACCTGGATGAACTTAAGCTAGGATAAAAAAAACTGTGACAATCCAATAGATTTCCAGTTGAATGCTTACCAAACTTCTCCCACAAATAACATATGATGGCTGCATGGCAATCATGAAGAACGGATTTGTAGATCTGAAAGCAGCAGCAGCTCTACCAAGAGCATTAGCTTTTTCATCAGCTGTCAGTGTTTGTTCCCTTCTAATACCTTCATTTGACCTTTGTTCCTGATTAGGCAAGAATCTGTTGCCTCTTAGTGCTGCAACCAAAGAAAGTCATCCAGTTGAGACCAAAAACTATACCAGACTAATATATAACCTAAACTAATGAGGAACAACAAAGAATATTTTGCTAGTTGAAATTACAGACCTTCAAAATGCTGTCCAGGACAATGGTCATTTGCTTTCCTTGTAAAATTCCTTCGATTCATCCTGACAGAATCAGCAACGGTAGGAAAAATTGAAGTCTTAAACTTTGAAGGGCTCTCGAATTTACTGGTCTTTTTGTGAGGTCGAGGACAATGCAATGGCTGTTTCTCTTTTGATTTCCGGCTAGGGAAAATGTCATCTATGATTTCAACGGACGCATCATCTTCCATTTTTGGCTCTTGAAATTCTCCATCGCAATGAGGCTCCTCATTATCATTGATCAGGTTGAAAGGATATTCTATCTCTGTAGCACTCTTATCAAATACGAGCACATTGAAATGACATCTACTATCATATTCAAAAACCAGGAAGGAACCGTGGGATACCGAATAATACTTGGCAAATTCTTTCCAACCATTTTGTAACCACACCTCACCGTCACCCTTGACCAGCTCCACTTTCCATTTTTCACCTGTAGGGACCTCAAGGAGTATAGGATTTGGCAGATCATTTCCATGGTTTCTCACAAATTTCCTTGGAATACGCTGATAAATGCTAAAACAATTAGCAAGTCTAGATCTATAAAATGCATATTAAGTAAGAGCAAACTAAATACAGATGCTAAACCAAAAATTACTACACCAAACAAACCTAAAAATGCACTGCTATCTTGAAGGATCATAGAATGCTCTCTTTTAATGACAAACCAATTAAAAAAAAAAAAAAAAAAAAAAAAAAAAAAAGAACAAAGAATGGCATTGCAAATGTATTGACATTTCTTCTCTTCCTCTGAAAAAAAATATCCTCGCTTCAAATTATGTGCTGCCTTGCAGGATTTGCTAAATAATAGAAAGAAAGAAACAAAGAACACTTACAAGTTTCCCATCAGTAATGGTTTCTTGAAAAATTATCTTGAAAAAATGGGATCTATTTGGCTTGAACAAGAAGCATCCATCGTCACTCTTGGAGTTAGAAGCCATTGTTGAACAAATCCAAAATTCAATTATGTTCATAAAACAAATTTAAAAATTTGACATCTAGATTAAGTGCTTTTTCTCAAATTGAACATTTTGAATATTCATACTGTCATGCATATATATTGTGGTTGATATTGTAAAACAATAAATGTCAATAACCATTTGTATTCTCACTATAAATTATATTCTTTAATGAGATTCAATTCACCATCATGATAACACAAGAATCAAAAAGTTGGTGCATTTGATGCAACTTTTTCATTAATTTTTTCTAATACTTGTAATTCTCTTTCTAATCTTAAAGCTTATAAATAAAATTGATGGAATTGTTTATTAGTTGGAGTGTTTTTTCAGAGATTGAGAGAGAGTTGTTTTAAAGTTGTTGCCACTAATTATATTCTGAAATTATTTTTCTATCAGTTTTCTTTCTAATTTTATTATTGTTGCCATATATTTTTTTATATATATATATAACAATGAACAATTTAATTCCTAATTTTAGATAAGGCAACCTATAAAACTAGAAAGGACTAATTAATTCAATTTTCAAAACAAGAAGTACTGATTTATAATTATTCCTGTTTGCAAGTGTTGTGCCAAAAAATAAGCAACTTAATTGGCACAGGCAAGACATTCTTAAAAATAGATGCGACTGTTTCTCGAAATAAAAAAGTGGCTAATGTGACATCTACTTGCATTATCTATAAATCTATCATGAATAGACTTAGAATTATTTTTTGATGCATCAGTAAAGATCTCTGTGTGAGAAAATTATCTCGGAATCTTGACAAATTAGAAGGGCTATCTATATACCAAGACAGGCCCAGTGCCCTGAAAAACTAATAAAGTTTGAGCAATTACTGCAGAATTCAAGATCCATAAAAGGATAAGTTTAAGCAATTAATTACAATTGCATGATCCCGAAACAAGAGGCTATGTAGAGCAGCTACAAAGTTTTGTTGTTGCAGAAAAAGAATACAAAATGTATTTATTGAAGAACTTGATGTCAGTCCATGTCCATTTTGCAATTCTACCAGAGAGAAGCCTCTCATTCTCATTTGTTGCTTCACTATATCATGTGATTCTTCATTTTTTAACATAATTAACATAATAATTTTTTTTGTTAATGAATCCAACTGTAAAATTATATATGTTAAATTAATTAAACCTAAGCAAACATTACATGATCAAATACTAAAAAACCAAAATGTTATGACAAAACTCATAATTAAGAATTAATTAGTATCACAACAGTGATTAGAAGAATGTATAAAATATGCAAAAAAATTAGATCTGTTAGTGATTTAAAAAAAAAAAAAAAAAAAGTGATCCCATCATAGAAAATTTAAATTGCATACATTTTTTTAAAGTCATTGTTTAAGATCTCAGCGTCCGAGACCACAGAAATGGAAAATGAGCGTGACCTGCTCCCAAGAGATGATCTTCGTATATTCTTCATATTTGAGGCCTCAATCCGATGTTTTATCACCCAATAACACATTGTTCCCAAGGTTGTAACCATTATAGTTGCTCCTATAATTGTAACACCAATTGCCAACCATTTCTCACGTTCACCGACAACAACAAAAGACAGTGCTAAAAAAGCAACCGAAACAAGGGCACAAGCTAACCACATCAGCTTGTTTATGATCGCCATCATCCGCTTCTTTGCGCTGCTCTCTATGACTACAACTGATGTTTGCACCACCACAACAGCCAGAGAAATGAAGAGGGCAATAGAATCAAAGATGAAGAATATGATGAACGAAACTTTGGGAGCGATATTTGCTTCCCCTAAAGACTGTCCCGGAGGGACTTCATCAGGGTCATCAACGTATTGACCAGGGACTGTGAAGATGGCTGCAAAGGCAACTGTGGCAATGAGAACAGCAACTACGGTTGTGGAATTGATGGCGTTGTTGAGACCTTCTACATGCATTTTGTTGAGACGCTTAGCGATTCCCTGCACACGCCTTCTAGTTTGACGTGTGTGTTCTAGTTGGTGGTAGACTTCATGTTTTATGTCGCTCACTGTTTGTTTCAGCTCTCGAGCTGGATTTTTTGGCTGTGGCTGAATCGTTTTGGCACTCTGAACCCCATGCTCTTGCAAAATCACTGCAATTTCCGAATGTCCAGTTTTCTCAGCAGTATCAAGTGCAGTTTCAGTAGTCCTATTAACAGCCTGTACATTGGTTCCGCTATGCCGAAGTAGCAGCTTAACAATCTGCACAAACATAGCTTTAGTTTGTGAGTCAATTTATCTCTTATCATCGGGGTCAGGTTATAATTTTTTTTTTTTTTTTGGTCATAAAACTGACATCAAGATTACAATTTTCAAGCCTTAATGCTTTTGGCTTCAATAACCAAAGTCTTAAAGTTTAAACATATCCAATTCACTTATAATATATGCCAATTGTTGTTATTAAGAGTTTAAACTTCAAACTAAATCACCTTTAACAACATTATAGTTTCCATGACTTTAAGTCAAATGCAGGATTTTGTGGAGAAATCAAGAGCAGGTTGATTTGAAAACCAATATAAAAGGTAGTAACTCAAACAAGACGCACCTTCAATAAGGCAAATCTCTACAAAATATTGAGAGAATTTGGCCAAATATTAATTAGGCAAATGAGCTGCTGAAAATGGAAAAACTTTGAGTACTACGGCATATCTCAGATGATGAGGTCAATGGAGTTCATGAAGGAAGTATCCTAAGAAGGATAACAATCTTAACTTTTAGATATAATTTTCCTCTATCCAACTCTTTCTTGATTATCTTTCTCCATTCTATTATCTTTTGTGAGCTGCAGATAGATTTTTAAACAGTGAAGTTTGCTATGAATTCAAAATCTTCACTTGCTTAGTGATCACGTGTTGTCAACATATTAAATGAGCTAGCATAAGAGTACCGTACCAGCATGTGAAAAGAAAAGTTGATGTTTGGAATAATCCAAAAACCTGGACAATTCAATTTAGTTTGATAGTAATAAGACCTACTCATGGCAAAATTTTGCTCCATCCATAAAATAATCTTAGATTTTTATCCTTGTTTATATGTTCGAAATTAAAGGTGAGGAAGAAGGAGAAATTTACCTGAGCTCTTCCTTTCCTGGTTGCTATATGTAAGGGTGTGTTGCCTTTAGTATCAATCATGTTTACAGCTGCAGGTTCTGCAACAATCAGCTCCTCCACCAACTCAATATTTTGTCCCTTCACTGCCATGTGAAGTGCTGTCTGTCCCTTCTTATCTATCCTTGTCGCTATCCCAGGCTCCATTGTCAAAAGTGCTCTCACAACCTCCACATGACCATTTCTAGCTGCAGAATGCAAGGCAGTTTTTCCATTGCTTCTAGCAATCGTTGCTAGGCTACTTCCGGCATCCAACAAAAAATTCACAATCTCTATGTGACCTTGTGTGGCAGCCGTGTGCAAAGCTGTAGTGTTTGATAAATCAACAGTCATAGACAATTCCGGATGAGCCTCCATTAGGACTTTCAACATCTCTGCATCAATAAAAACTAAAATTCAAATATCTTTTCCTAAAAGATAATGAACGAATAGAAAATTATAAGGTTAAGCCGTACCTAAATCCCCTTGCTTTGCAGCAACATGGAATGCATCAAACCCATTTCTTGCTTTGATACTGGCATCAGCAAGATCATAATACTTTATCATCTCTCTGACCACATCAACATAACCGTATTCTGCAGCAACATAAAGGGCAGTTTCCCCAGATTGGTTTTGCTTCTCTAACAATTCCTTCAATTCTTCTTCTCCAGTGCCAGTTAAGATCTCCATTACAGCTCCTAAATTTCCTGATCTTGCCGCAGAATGTAATGCTGTATCATTTTTCTTTCCCGTTAGCTGTTTGGTCATCCTTTTCCTTGGCACTGAACTAGGGTGCCCACCTGGTGACTCCATTGGATCCATTAATCAAAAAGAAAAAAAAAATCTCTTCTATTTCTAACAGTAATTCATGTCTTTTTTCTTCTTTCGGCAAAAACCCAGATCAAAATTTGCATCTTTTGTCATCAAGACTCGTTATCTCTTGAAAGCAACCAAGATCATGATATTCTTTGTCATCTCTTTCCCAAAATGATGGAGCTTGATTCTGACATTGCATGTCTGGTTCTGCTCTCTCTTGCATCCTAAATTACAAGAACGTCAACAACATAGAATATTGAACAAAAGCAAACGACCTCACAAACAAAATTTTGAAACAGTCTTTTTCATTACAAAAAAGAAGATCAAGAAAGGACAAAAATGAAGAGGAAAAAAAATCATATTATATTTACTTGGGGTTGAAGGAAGGAGCTTCTTTTGCGCTCCTCTGTCAATAGCTAAAAAACCCAAAGAGTTTAAAAAACTGTCTTTGGAGAGATAATAAAAAATATCTGTAAGGCTGTAATGTATCTATCTATATATAGCAAAGATGAAGTTTATAACAAATAGTTGTTAAACTAAAATTTTGATGAATGAAACTACAGAAAAGCATAAAGATAAAAAAAAAAAATTCTTTTTTTATATAAATAAAATATCTACAGAGATGCGTAAGAATAAAATTGCAATGATGTAAAAGATAACATAAATTCATAGTACTTATAAATCTTAGAATTCAGTATTTTTCACATAATTAAAAAAATAAATTCATCATACTTATGAGTCTTAGAATTTCATATTTTCACATAATTTAAAAAAAAAAAAAAAGTACCTTGGTGTTTAGACTTTTGAATTAATAAACAATAATTGATGAAGAATGATTTTTATCTCTCGTTATCTCTTTCATAATGATAGAAATGAATATCCTTTAGTTTTCTTTAGTTTTGTTATTTTTAAATTAACAGATGGAGGACATTAAAAATTAATCATTCATCATTATTAATTATACATCATAATTGATTAGATACATGTATCATCACTAATTAGATACATTTATCATCATTAATAATATGAATCTTAATTAATTAAATACATTTTTAATATATATCTATCGAATTAATATCATGTATCTTAATTAATTGTATACACATTAAATATACATTCATCATAACTAATACATGCATGTATCATAATTAATATCATGTATATTAATTAATTAAATATGCTTTAAATATTATGCATCATATGGGTTACGATTAATTTTATATTTTAGATATATCATGTAGACCATAATTAATTTTATAAGGTGTGAGGTGGGTTACACTATAAAAAATCTGCCAATTATTTGTCATTAATTATAGCAAATCCATCGCTATAGACCATTAGCAATAGATTTGCCACTGGAAAGAATTTTGTAGCCAAAATGAGTGTTGCTAAACCTTACGACGAGTTTAACATGTCCATCGCTAAGATAGCGACGGAATGTCCATCGCTAATAAATATCACTCATCGTTAATTGACAGCAGAAGAACCTTAAGAAGCGTCGCCAAATCTGCCGTTATGTAACGAACAAATCACCATCGCTAGATTCCAAAGCTAATATCCATCATTAATTCGTGTTTGTTTTCATCGCTAATTAGATGTTATTTTGTGACAAAAGTGTTTTTCAATGCTCGTTTTTTCGATCAAAATTTAATTTTTTGTTTCAAAATCCATCGCTAATCTATAGGTATTGAGTCGCAATTCGTAGCTATTTTTATCACAAATACATATTTTTTATTTTCTTTAATTTAATTTTGTTATATTTTTTTTTGTAATTTCAAAATGTTGGATATTTGTAGTAGTAACGTAAAACAAACAACTTGTTATAAAAAATGAATTTTTATTAAAATTAAAATATTACAAATTAAAATAAACTTTATATTTTAAAAACATATTCATTATTACATAAGAAAAAGATTAAAAACATAAAAGAAAAAGTAAATGTCATTGCATATCATGTAATCCTCTCTCATCTTGTTAGGGCTCGGTATGAGGGACGGTGGAACCCCGAAACTCGCTAGGAGGGATCGTATCATCCCGAGGCTCAATGGAAGGGATGATGGTACACGGGGGCTTGCTAAGAGGGAGTGTGTCATTGTTACCGGTCGGTAAGCAAAGTAGTTGGATGCACCATCCTTTCTAACGTCAATGAAGTCGAATCTATCTTAGCCACCGTCCCCCGGATCTTCATCTACTATTATGTGATAATGTTGTTCTCCTTTTATACCTTCTCCCGCAATGCCCTAATCATCTCGTCATATTGAGGTGGAGGTTGTTCAACGATAATGGGGCCGTGAAATTGTGATGCTATGGAGGAGTAATTAGTGGCGGCTAATTAGGATAAATAAGTGGTCCGCCTCTAACTCGATCTCGTAAAGTCTCTTCTACTTCTCCCCTCCTACAGTATCAAAGTATATAACGTTCGTGTCGACCTATGGCTCCTCAATTTCAGCCTCTCGCTCGCTTCCGTATAGGTTCCTAGATCATCTCCTCCACACGCTTCTACTTAATAAAGATAATTATAATGTTAGTAAAAAATTAAAATAAGTTGTTAGATTATATTTTTATGTGTATAATATAAAAATGAAACTAAACTTATCTTACAGATTAGGCTCATAAATTGATAAAATTCTCATCTCTTCACTTATGAGTGAGCCCAACCAACTCTAAAATTGTAGACTAACGGTCTAATTTCACAACCTTGAAAAAATTAACATAAATAATATATGAGATACAAATATTAATTTTGTAAATATTTAATAATATATGATAGGATTTACCAAGTAGTGGGTGTACTCGAAATAGATATGGACCCTCCCGAATGCGTAAATAGTCCCAAACCGAGACCACCGATCTTCGATAGCTAAACCGACAATCGGGCGTGGAAAAATCTTGCTTCCATGAATCTCACACCTCCTACCTAACAAACAAAGGCCTTTGGTCATGCGTACCATGCTTTTGGATAAAGTTAGAGTAGCATTTTCTAGCCAAAGCCTCCTAAGCATCTTTGGCCCGTGTCTCGATGGTTGTTCCCAATAAAAAGACTTTTACATGAATAAAAAAATAATACTAGTTCATTTCATTTTGAATTAATTTTAAATGAAATACAAATAAATAAGTAATACATTACCTTAAACTCATTATAGTAGAACTGTTTTATTCCTCCGAAATGAACTTCCACATCGAGCCATTGATGTCCAATCACTCTTTAAAAATCATAGTTATCCATTTTGAGCAATCTCTCTAACACGATATGAAACTATCGAACACGAAAAAAATGATATATTAAATTTTTAAAAATAAGAGTTAAAGTAAATTACTTACTAACAATTAACGATCAAAATTGGCTATCAAATATCGAAGCCTCGAGAGCTCTCCAACCGGTAGATACATCAATAAATGATGGATTCCCCGAAGGAGGCTAGGGAAACTTGATGATCTCGTGAGATGGATGAACGATCATTGATGGAGACATCGAAACGAGGCTGAACTACTAGTTTCGAAAGAGGAATAAGTCAAACGTCCCATGTCGATGGACCAATGCGAGTGCTTGAAGAACAACCACAATCAATGTTGGATAGAGAACCATGTCTACCGTTGTGAGGCGATGATGCACGTCCATGACTACCGTATCATGATCCCCGAGGGGTGTGGGAGGTTGATGCGAACCACGCATCATAGCTTAATAATATCACCTAAGATAAGAAAATTTAACAAAATACAAAAAATATATTATCCATTGTGAGCATAAGAAATAACATTTCAAAAGTATCTCTAGAAAATTAGATATTTTCTAATTACTTGATAAACAAACCGGCTAAAACACAACATGATAAAAATACACAACCAAAATTTGCAAAATATATGAAAGTCAATAAATAGGACATATTATAACAAGGAAAACAACAAAACAATATATCATTTTTTTTACCAATATATCTAATAAAATTAATATTTAATTACTACCATCGTAATCATTGTTTAAGTTTTCATCTCCCTTATTTGATACATATTCATATTCATTATTGTCTTCTTCGTAAGCTTCAACTAATTTTATATCTATAAATAATCCATTTGGATCATTCAACAATAAATCATCACCAACTTCCTATACCAAATTGTGTTAAATTTTTAAATCGCCTCGCTAAAATGGTTTGGTATTTTGTTTGACTACTACAAATCATTCAAGCCACCTAAACACAAACCTAGTTTTTATCTTACAAACAGTCCACCAATCTCGATCATCCTACCTCAAGCTAGGGTACTTAATATAATATACCCGAGTTGATCTGTGATGTTAGGACAAAGGATTCATAATTCACTAACTTTTTTTTATAGTTAACATCTACTAGTCCGTACTATAGATGAACACGTGTTCCTTGTAGTATAGGATCGAATAAATCCCATTTAAATAACATTGTTCTCTTGAGTGGTAATGTATGATACTTTACTTGGAGAATTTTTATCAATATTCCATAATAATCATTATTGGTTACATTGTAATTGGTTCCTTTAATGTACACACTACTATTGAAACTCATTATTTTCGAGCCTCCATTAACTATGCAAAACCTATACCTATTAATATTGTAACCCCGATATGACCTCACAAGTATGCAAAGGGCCTTATGCTAAATCTTTTATGAACTGGTATGTGTTGGACATTGTTTATGCATATTTTGTCTACAAAATCGACATAAAATCGTTAAAAGGTAAATTATCATTTTAATTAATGTTACCTCCTAAAAAAATATAAGTTAATTGAGAATACTCACATATTGACTAAACTAACATGCAAACTCAATTTTAAGAAGAGCATTAGCCTTATTTTCGAGGATTAAGGGATTGTTTTGTCATACTTCATCAATGAATCCACTAATAAAAATAACAATATACGAGTCGGTGTGACTATTATTATAGTTAATATTATAATAAGTAACTAAATATATATAATTTTGACATGAACGTTTGACAATCTTACTCAATATAAGGTTTTACTT